ATAACAACAACAAAACGGTATTACCCTTTAGAAGTTGGAATTGCATCCTGGCAGTTACGTGGTCACACACTCACCCACAATACGGAATACTTCCAGTAACTACACATTACTAAAGAATTAAACGTTGGAACTATCCCAAAATCCGCTACCTCTTTTAGAAAAGCATTCGCCACATATTCGAGTTACCACATTAAAATTAACCTTTTTGACTTACACTTTTTCCAACACAATTCCCTTTGCATGAGATGCGCCTCCAAAGGGGTTGGCCTTCAAAGCTGTGCCCAAATGGGCTTTTTTGTACTGTTTATCATGCCATTTCTGGTCGCGCCGGTGGCTGCGCAGCTTCCTGGCGGTACGAAGACCTCGACACTTGCCTAAGATGCAAGATACAGGTAACCATCATATTTGCACCTTTACAGGGTCATTTCACCAAGTTTAGAATCCACATCTCTTAAACCAGGGACCACACTCAATTGTTCGCAAAACAAAACATTTATGTTCTACTGGTTCACTTTCTCAAAGGCGACCCACGTCAACGCACAGGGGAAACATCTGCCGGCTTGGGGAAGGTAAGTGCGAGCCGGCTGCGCACCGCGTGGGTTTCCTCCGAACTGGGCCGCATGTTCCCAAAACGATTCTTTCAGGCCACTGTCTGGTCGTGCCCTCCCGCAGGCCCTTCCTCCTATGCCCTGCTCCCATCCGCACGCCCCCTGGATCCCGTGCCCGGCTTGTAGTCCCTGTGTGCCGGCGGAGAGCCATACTCACCCATGTCTGCGAGACCACGGATCCAAGCGAAAGAGAGAGGAAGCACTGGAAGGATCCACAAGCCACCGCGCTTAAGCTCCTCCCAGCAAAGGACCCCGACCTGCTGTCTGTACGACGCCTGATTGTAAAACCGGTGACTCGCCTTTGGGAAAGAAGCGCTGGTACCACTCTTTCGTAGCCAGATTCTGTGTTTTATTTAATTTTCAGAAATTTCGTGCACGTATAAATTGCATCTTGTTTAAAGGCATGTCTTTCTTCATGGGAATACCAGGTCTGCAAGAAATGAACTACCAATCCCAAAATGCTTTGCACGAGATTAGTACACGGCGCATGCGGTCTCGGTCAAAGTCGCCTCGGGGCGGGTGAGGGCGCGGGCTGGAGTGGCAGGGTGATCAAAGTTCTGAAAGAGGAAGTGTTCATCCTAGGTGTCTTAGTGTGGCGGGATGGGGTGCCTCTTCCTACAATTTAGAAAATCTGTCTCTGAACCTTAATTCATACTTACAAACTGAATGAAAAGAAAAAAAAATAGTAAACTTTAGTGAAACGATGTTCTGTAGCTATCAGATTCAGCTTTTGGAGTCAGGCATGACCTTAAAAATCAAATGCTTCTGTGCTTGATTTGACTTCTTTAAACTCTTACGTTTTCTCTGTAAAGTGAAATGAGTACGGTGAGAGTTTTCTGGGTACATTAAATATTTTTAATTTTTTCCCCCTGTTGTATTAGGTGCCATTTAGGCTAGGTGCCCTGTCCTGTGCCATCATCACATATCTGACACGTTTGTACCCATTGCTGTAATCATTGTCAATTCACCTAGTTGAGGTTCTTCCTCCCTTTCATTGTCCCCTCCACCTTTTCAAGCAAGTACAACCTTGCTTGCTGAAACTGAGGAGGACCTGAAGCGCTTGCTGCAGAGGGTCAAGGACTGCAGCCTTCAATATGGATTGAGACTCAATGTCAAGAAGACAAAGATTCTCACCACTGGACCAATTGGCAGCATCAGGATGGATGGTGAAGAGATTGAGATTGTTCACAGCTTCAGTTTGCTTGGCTCCACAGTCAACACTCTTGGCACCAGCAGCCAGGAAATTAGAAGACGTATTACCATGGGAAAGTCTGCTGTTAGGGACCTCTCCAAAGTACTGAAGAGCAATGGTGTCTCTCTGGAGACTAAGGTGCGCCTGATACAGGCCATGGTCTTTGCAATCACTTGTTATGCATCAGAGAGTTGGACAATGACTAGGGGGGATATAAGGAGAATTGAAGCCTTTGAACTGTGGTGCTGGAGAAGAGTATTGAGGGTACCATGGACTGCTAGGAAAACAAACAGATTCATCCTGGAAAGGGTCAACCAGGATGCTCCTTGGAGGCAAGGATTCTGAGGCTCCATCTAACATACTTGGGACATGTTGCAAGGACGGACAGGTCCTTGGAGAGGGGTATCATGCTTGGTAGGGTGGAGGGACAGTGCTGAAGGGGAAGGCCCCCTATGAGGTGGATTGATTGAGTGACTGGGGTAATCGGGATGGGTGTGTTGGAGACGGTGCGATTGACACAGGACAGAGCAGAGTTAAGGGTCTCATAGGGCCGCTATGAGTGCAAGCGATTCGATGGCACATGACAACAACAACAACATGATGTCCCTTTCCAAGGAATAGCCTACCCTAGTAGCATGCCCAAAGTATATGAGATAAAGCTCATATGATCACGATTAAATGTTCTGGCGTATAAAATCAATGTGTCGTGATCTCCAAACCTCCTATGAAATTAAGACTTAAAGATGATTTGCTTAATTAGAGAATATTTCTTGGTTCACTGATAAATGATAAGATAATTTTCTTGTTTGGTTTTATGTTTGTTTGTTTGTTTGTTTAGGAGTTTGAGAGAAATAGGCCTGATGACTTCCTAAGCAAGCATTTGGCTGCTACAGATCAGAAGTTCAAAACTATCAGCTGTTTTTTTGGAGAACAATGCAACAGTCAGTCTGCTCTCATAAGTTTTACAGCCTTGAAAACCACTTAAGACAAGCCGACTGTCCCATAGGGTCTTTATGAGTTGGAATTAGCTTGATGGTAATGGTATTAAGATGTTTAGAGAAAAATGGAGGGACAGTACAGGAAAGGAAGACCCTCGATGAGATGGAACTATTCAGTGATTGGCGTAATGGGAGTAGGTGTGTCAGAGACAGTGAGGTTGGTACAGGATAGAGCAGGGTTTAAGGGCTCTTGTACATAGGGTCTCCTTGAGTCGCAAGTGACTTGACAGCACATAACAACAAGAACAACAACAGTAAATAATGCACAAAACAGATGAAAATAGTTTTTCTAGCAAGCAAAACAAATTGCCTGCAACCCAAAGCGAACCTATGCACAATATCTCTTGAACCCTGTCCTATCTTGAGCTAATCTCACTATCTCCAACATGCCTAAAACCATTACTCCAATTGCTGTGTCAATCCATCTCGTCCAGGGTCATCTTCTCTTGTACTGTTTCTCCATCCTCCAAGCATGATGTCCCTCTCCAAGGACTGGTCCATCCAGGTGACATGTCCAAAGTATGTGAAATGGAGTCTCAAAATCCTTGCCTTCAAGGAACAATTTGGTTTCACCTCTCCAGGACTGACCTATTGTTTTCTTGGCAGTCCATGGAATGTTCAGAACTCTTCTCCAGCACCACAACTCAAAGTTCTTTTTTTGTCATCCTTAGTCGTTGTCCAGCTCTCTGATGTGTAGCAAGTAATTGTGGAGACCATGACCTGAGTCAGGCTCACTGTAGTCTTTAGATTGACATCATTGCTCCTTTGTACTATAGCAAAGTCCCTGATGCAGTTCATCTTTTGATTTCTTGACAGCTTGTGCCACGAGTGTTGATTATGGAACTGAGCAAGCTGGAATTGTTAACATACTCAATCTCTTCTCCATCTGTAGTTGTTCATATTAATGTATCCTTGAAATTTGCAGCCTGATATCCTGGGGTTACTTCTTGTTATGTGCTGCCAAGTTGTCTGCGACTCATAGCTATGAAGCCTGACTGTCCTGAGCCAGTCTCACTGATTCTGACACACCAACCCACATTTCTCCAGTTACTATATCCATCTCATTCTGGATCTTCCTCTCCTTGCGCTGTCCCTCCTATCTTCTGGGTATGACGTCTTTCTCCAAAGACCAATCTCTCCTGGTCACGTGCCTGATGTATGTGAGACAGAGCTTCAAAATCCTAGCCTCCAAGGAGAAACTTGATTTCACCCTCTCTAAGACAGACCTATTTGTTTTCTTGGCAGTCCATGGTATGGTCAAGACTCTTCTCCAGCACCACAAATGTTGTTATTGTTGATTGCCGTTGAGTCGAGCATGACTCATAGTGACCCTGTAAACAAAAGACCCGAAGCCTTTCTATAACTATTATCGTTTCTCAAAGTTCATAGAATTTCCAGAGGCACGTTGTTTAGGAAGTGCATCCTACTCCTGCTTCCAAACCTGTTTTAAACTGAGAGCTCCACCAAACACTGTCCACCATGGGTATGTATATACATATATAGAGATTTTAACAGCACAGGTTGTGAGGATGGTTTAGGATCAGATAATTTTGTAATCGATCTGATTCTTGTGCATACCATCAGGTGAAATCCATGTGTGTGGTCTGTGTTTATGCTTCTTAGAAAAGGTACTTGCGCTGAATAAATCATTGATTCTGCACAATTCTATCATTCTATCCCCAGCCTCATTTCTGATCCTTCTTCTTGGTTCCCAAATATTGCATTCCAGTCAGTCATTATCAATGCATTATTAATCTTGGTTGCATGTTCAATTGATTTCTGACTGCAAAATTTGGTAGAAATAATCTATTTCCTCCTCTTTGGATCTGGTTGTTGGTGCACAAATGTGAGTGATAGTGCTATTAAGAACATCAAGAAGATAAAGCTTCTTAACACTGGACCAATTGGCAGCACCATGATGGATAGAGAAGATATTGAAGTTGTTAACAATTACAGCTTTCTCAGCTCTACAATGAACACTTTTTACACCAGCAGTTAGGAAATCAAAAGACAAATTGCACTGGGAAAATCTGCTGCTGTAAGGGACCTCTCCAGAGTACTAAGATGTCAGTCTAGAGACTAAAGTACACCTGATCCAGCCATGGTCTTCACAATTATTTTCTATGCATCAGAGAGCCAGACAATGACTAAGAATGGCAAA